CCTAAATAGCTAAATATCTATAGTATGTAGAGACGCCTATATTTTTTGTGGTGTTGGGTACACCTGTGGGCACTGCAGGTGTGATTCCAACTTTTTTCCCATTTTCCCAATTCGACAGTCAAAGAATACAACTTTCATTTTTTCTGTTTTTGTAATTTCTGGCATTCTAACTGTGTTTTATTTCACATAAGACATTTCTGAGTTCTCTCTCCTTCTAGTCATGGTTGTGCTGTTTCCATAGAGGTGCAGGACTTTATGTTGCAGTGAAAAACAAGCACATAGTGAGAGGAAATGTGGGCAAAAAAACACCCAGAAAGTTCCTGGAGTTCAGAGGGTTAAAAATCTTGTGAGCAGCTGTAACTTTGAAGTATGTTGTTGTCATGAATACAGTGAGCTGCACTTTGGACCACAACTCAAGCTGGGTCTTTTGTACACCATATTTGTTGATATTTTGGAAAATGAAATAAGCCAAATTGTCTGTTACTTTCTTTGTACTATTGGATGAGCTGACATCTATCACTAATTTACCGTGATACTAAATAAAACGTAAAAATCTGATGACTCAGCCAAGTTCTGAAATGTCTTTTTTTGAATGACTTCCAAGCAGGTTTGTGAGCTTTTACTTGCAGTGACATGAGAGAGATCTAAACTGTTCTAAAATCACGTGTGTGTGTTCAGATCTGACAGTAAAACTCACGTCCTAACTGCCATGTAGACCAACTTTTCATGGGTGAAGTGCAGTAACGGAACAAATTAAAACCCTCTGGAATAATTCTTACCTCCAAGTCTGGCAGTGCTGCTACTAGTTCCTGTCCCATTACTCTATAATCTCTTAATTATGAAGTCAGAGTTTTTCTTTTCTTTGGTGAATGCGGAACAGGTTCAAGAGATATTAAATAACTCAAAAGTCTTTGGTCTGCTTACAGGACAGGTTTTATTTTTGAGACCTCAGTTCAAAATCACAACTCGGTCAATCGAAGTCAAATCTCTACTCGTAATGCCCCGACAGATGGTGTTAGGATGGAGTTTAAATCATTCTGTGAAGCGCCTGAAGGACTGCACTGCAGCGCTGACGGCTCCCCAGTCGCCGGGTTTGCGGTACTCCCCCTTCTCCAGGAAGTACTGGCGCCCGCGGTAGTTGGGGTGCTCGTAGAAAACCCACCAGCCGTCAAAGACCTTGCAGGAGTTGACCTCCCTCCAGCGGAACTTCTCCAGGATCGAGGGGCAGTCCTCGGTGGCCTCGTAGGCCTGGCCTGCGAAGTCGGCCTTCTCATACAGCTGCATCTTGTACTGGGTCCCGCTGGTCTGCAGGGAGGCAGCGGAGGTTTGGGGTTAGGAAAGGAAAAGGGACGGGGGGATGTGTAGAAAGATGAATGCTCAGGCAACAAAGGGTATGCAGTTTTGTTTCTCTATAATTGGATTCTTTCCTTTTGTTCAAGATTCCACACCTTGATCACCTCCAGACTCGATTACTTTAACACACTTTACTCGAGTATCAGTAAACGAAACATTCACAGACTTCAAGTTCATTCAAAATGCTGCTGTTGCTCTGCTTTTCCTGTAGAAGTCACCACATTACTCCAGTTAGAACTTTACTGGTCACTTTTAGAATTGATTTTGAGATTTTATATCTTGTTTTTTTAAAGCTGTTGAATCCTGATTTTCTCCTTGTGACCAGACCTGATCAGGCCTTCACTGTTTGTTTG